CCACCAAGTAGACAGACAAACATTTATTTTATTGGCTAAGACAGTTTATTCCTGGTTTACATAGATAGTTCTGAGCAAAATTACCCAGCTATTGTTTCAAAGGCAGTGTTTGGCCATCAGCAGGACTAAGTAGCACTCTTTCCCTTAGTTCACTGTAGACCTAACTAAATGCATCTGACCATCGGGAAATCAGTTCATTGCTCCTAGAGAATGTTGTCCAAGCACAATTTTTGCTATGTGTGCTCTTAGGAAGTTGTTTCTGTTCATTTTTCTGTTGGCAGCAGTCCCCTTTACTCAGTTGTTACAACAGTCTTTCAGTACCTTGCTCTATCATGAACCGTATAGCAACCCTGCTACTGAAATGTTCACTCCTAATGCCTAGGTTTTGAAGGTGTGTTTTTCCACATCATCAGGAAGTGGAAGCCTTGAGACCGCTTAAGGGTGCTATAAACTGCAGTACCCTGGTGATGTTTGTAAAACTGCTTTTCCTCTGGATGCATCGCAAAAATGTCCAGCTCCTGGCATACAAGAGTTAGAGAAATTCCTAACACTTGTCTTATCAAATCATTTGTTAAAAAATCCTTATCCAAGAGAGACATCCTCATTATTAAATTGCTGTGCATTATTTCCAGTGTTTACTGATGTGGGTGGACTACTATCCTGAGCTTGCGGGAAGTGTTTGATTTGCTGTGTGCCATCCCATGGGAGAAATGTACAGAATCTCCCCATAAGCAATTACCGAAGCTGACAAAAGTATATGATTCTGTTCAGCATGGGATCTATATCCTTCAGCTTCTGTATTTATAAGTAGTGCCATCATGCTCACAATGAATAGGAGGTTATTACGAAGCTGATAATGCAACAAGAATCACAGACTCACAAACAATATGTGGGCTGTACAATGAACGGGTCAAGTGTCTTTATTCTAAATAGATTTGAAAAGAAAATCTGTATATGACTGTTCAAAATGAGCTTTCAACCTGGATTCTCTGCACTTTTTCCATGGCTATGTGGCCTATATTTTAAAAACAAGTAGTTTCAAGAAGAGAGGATTTCATCATTCAGCCATACTGTTGCCAGGTGTGGTTTTACAGATCTTTAAGTTAGACTGTCAGCCGTTTTCTAATTAGGTAGGGAGCCTTCAAGAGAAGCAAAGTATTTAAAAAGATTGGACATAAACTTGCTAGATCACCATAATGTTTAGTGACACAGCGTTGTGCTGCTGACAGTTCCTTTTTTTCAAATACAGTATAAAAATAGCAGTCAGTCAATTCTGAAATAAACAATAACACTTCATAAATGTTAAGAGTGTTAACACAAGTGCCCCAGCTGAAATTCAATTCAGGTAGTGACACTGGGGTTGGACGTGGGGGCTTTTTCCTATTCCTGCTAGAGTTAGAGGGAGATTTGATATTTATTTCACAGATAGCAAAGGCTAAATCTGTGATTTTTTTTTTTTTTCCCCTCAGGGAAAATGCCGTGTTTCTAATCAAGCAAATTATAGGGATGACATTAAATTATTTAACAGCCTCGACCCTCTGTACACATGAAATTTCACCCCTTCTTTAAGCAGGTTCTATTTTTAAACTAATGTAAATCCAATTTGCCGCAAGCCCATTATAAAAAAATTGGGATATACCCACTTGAGGGTTTATCCAGATTGAAATAAATGAGTTATGTTCTGTTTCTGTTGTTGAACCGTAACATCTTTTGTGATGAAGACCTGTTCTTGTATTTGTGGTTAATGTCATCCAAGCAGCACTTTCTGAGGTAATAAAGATGTTTCTGTTCCTATTTGGGGAAAGAACCAAACAGTTCTTTTTAATTTATTTTAAATTTTGTTGGCACTTCCCTTTTAAAAATTACCCAAGGTATATGAGCAAGTACGTAGTGAATTTAAAATACAAAAAGGTTAGTAAAACAATTGAAATTAGTATGGATCACCTAATGCAAGGGCTTCTTTAATCTAGCTTTTTTTTTTTTTTTTTGATGTAGTAAGTATTGGAGGTGCAGTTGTTCTGCTTTTTATGCTTTTTCCGCTCATTTCATCATACAACATAGTATGACAGGGACTTTGGTTAGTACTTTTTGATAGTACTCTACACTAGTACATAAAGGCAAGTAATTGTAGCATTTATCTGATCTGGAATATGTTCTGGGTGACACTGTCAGAGTAGCAGCATGTTCTTCCCGTCCAGTTCAGCTTGACCCCTGCTTTCTCCCATGCGTTGCCCTCTTACTGATTCCCAACACCGCATCTGTACGATCTTTTCCCAGAAGGCTGGAACAGAGAGACCTGTCTGTGCATACCGGCACAGGGTGCCTGGGGTCCAAAAAATGCAGGTGGTGGGTAGGAACAGACCTTCTGCCCTGTGTAGCTCCTGGGCATGACCTGTCCAGGTACTGAGGTTTGCGCTTGTTTAAGCCTGGGTTTTTGTTTTTTTATAACTCAAATATTCAATATTTCAAATACAGGAAACAGGAAATGTAAATGCATACTGGATGGCATAATTCATTCTGGATGTGAAGGCAACTAAAGTTTTGCACTGGTTAAGCTCTCAACAGATGCTGAAAAATCAAATTGTCTTTGTTTGTAGTTTGAAAATGTTCAGACTTCATCCTGTGTTAATGATGAGAGCTAGCCTCTTCATGGTTTTGTGAAAAGTTGGAAGGAAAGACTGTTTGCGTCTGCTGATACATCACTTTGCTGTTCGGCAGCTTACATTGCACTGTTGATGTAACATTTCCTGCTAAATTGGCTTTATTGAAAATAATGAGATGTTTGGTTCTCCCTTATGTAATTGGGAAAATTTGAAATGCAGGTTTAAATAAGATTTTGTATTCTGTATACTACCAATTAACTTGCTGGGGAAGGGCCTTGAAGATACAGTCTCTTTTTCCAATCTTTCTGCTAAACTATTAGGCTAATATGGCTTAGACTGTCATTCCGTCCTTAGTTCCTTGTATTTCCATTCTGAGAACAAGAGCCTCAGAAGAAAAACCTCAGCATTAGGTATTCCTTAGAACAAACACTTTTTTTGAGTGAGCCAAGACTGTAAAACATTGCTACAATAGCTGTGCAAGCTGTTCTCATCCAAATCACAGTGTGGGAGAGTCTGGTATAGATTGACAGGCAGTCTATTGACAAGGACCAATAAAATTACTACATATGTCCTATCCTCGAACTGTTAACAGTTGCATACTAGTTAAATTTCTATAATTAACTGCCCTGCAACCTACTAAACAAATGTAGCGGTGTGTCTGTGGATTAGTGATAAGAAATGAGCTGCGTTTGTAACTCTTATCATTGACTGTATAAAAAAGTATGTGTAAAGTTACAACAGGGAGTCAGGACCATTAAGCACTTTATGAATGCATCTGTTGTTGACATTCATTTAAACCTTTCTGAGCAAGCTAGTTACATGCTAACTTTCTTTATAGACAGCTATACATTTGATCAGGATACTGCTAGTAGTATTTTAATTTGGAGGTTATGGTCCTCTTTAGCAATGAGCTTTAGTTAAGTCAGCATCCCATGGTCACCAGGCTGAACACCTGTGAAGACCATTGCCTTGTTTCCTGGAGAGCTCTGTTTAAGTTCCTGTGATCATGAAATCAAGAGTTAATTTAACATGGAAAATACAACAGTGATTTGAAAGAGGAAGTTCTTGTTGATCAGGTATCATCTGTAGGTTTGTGTGTTCAGAAGTGTAGCACGTTACCAGGAAGTAGATGATTCATTTAAATAAAAAAAATTAGTTCTGGGTAGGGAAGATGCAGAAATGAGCTTCCTCTTAAATTGGGGGAGGGGGGGAAGGTACAAAAGACAAAAGTCTTCCTATTTACTTACTATTGAAAAAAAATGCCTGAACTGTTTCACACGAGTTCATACTAAATTGAGCCTCAGAGAATAATTAAGACACTTTAACTCTCTGGAATTACATGGTATGCAGAGGAAGTGAAATTATTTCTCCATTCTCAAGGCATTTATTTTGAAATACTGATGTGTGTTTAGACTTCCTATTATGTGAAGAGTATACATTACATGGGAATCTTTCCTTTTCGGTGGGTGATTTTGATAAATGTATCAGCAGACACTCGTGTTTTCGCAGAAGTCTGGCTCTCACTGCAGCTTCTCCTGGGTTTGAGGAGTGTGAGGCTGGTGACTTGAATGGGTGGTTCATCCGTAGTCCTGAGTTTGCCTAAAAGAGATTTCTCTGTCTGCTTCATCTCAAGCCTTCCTTAGTTAATTCCAGCTTTATCTAGTTGTCATTACCACTAGCCCAATGCTTTTTTTCTTAGGATCTTTTGTGATTTGATTCCTTCATTTTCCACCCTTACCTAAAGTGTAAAGGATTAATAATAGCGCCCCTTAATTTCCATATTTCTTCTCCTTAGCTCATCTCATGCCTTTTTCTATTCCAAGTTCTGTATCCTCCCAAAAGTGATGTATTAAAATAGCTTTGCTTTTCTGTATTCATTATGTGAAAGTTTGCCGCTTGTGTCTCGATCCAAAATAGGACAAACAACAACTGTTGTTATAATGGTGCATATAATAAAATTAATAAGCTTTTCCTTGCAGAAATGTCATACTCACATGCCTAATACAGCAGATGTAATACTAAGTCCCTGAGTTCATATGGTTGATAGTAAATCTTTTTGTGAGTAATACCACTTCTGATAGTTTAGCATAAATAAAATTTTCAAACAGATATTTTATCACTTGTGAAGAAATATGCAGGCATTTTCACCCTTTTTTTTTTTCTCCATTTTTTTCTTTTTTTACTCCACTTTCACATTATTTCCGATGGTTTAAGGAACTTTTCATCCTGCTTCTCCGGAATGTTACTTTTTATGTAAATATAACATGACGATTTCTTGTGGTAGTGGACAAAAGTAGCAAAATGACATGCTAGCTAGCTTGAAGGGTATTATATTCTGTACTTCTGTTTAGCTAAGACAGCTTGACAGTTAAAAATCTAATCTTCTTCGACTTGTAGGTTCAAGATGCTGCAAGTCAGGGCTTGAAATTTGTTGGAATTATACCACAGTACCATTCCCAAAAGAACTGTCTTGTCAGCGCTTCACTGACACCCGCCAGTAACAACTCTGTGCAATCAAGAGACAATAAAAATGTTTCAAATGACTCCGAGGATCACGCTTCACCGGATGGTGAGAAAATAGATGGCATTAATGGCTGCAGTACTCCCGCACCAAGTGAGGGAAGTGCTGACCTGTGTGCCACATCCAGGGAGGGCTGGAGCGGTGAAGGACAGGCTCCCGAGGAGCTGAATCTCAAGTCTGTGAAGGGAAACGAAGAACAATTTCAACATGCGAACCCGAGTGTGACAGAAGCAGCAGACAAGCCAAATGGACTTGGGGAGAATGAAACACCAGCACGATGCTTAAAACCACTTACTGGCAGTAAGTATTGTAGTGATCTCTCATACATAAGAGGCAAGTTAAAATTGCCTTAATTATATTCCCAGCTCCTTTGGGGGTAAGGATGTGGGAAGGACCTTACTGTTGTAATAGCAAAGAAAAGATGCACCAAATGAGCCACTTAACATGATTTCAACGTGGTTACGCAGTTCACAACCAGTGAGCCTGAGTCAGATGGCAACTGAGGAGATGATGCCAGTGGGTGCAACTTTGTTATGGCCCGTTTACGTGCCTGAGTGTAAAGGCTTCCTTTTGTGTGCTGTTTAACTGAATTGGTTCAATTCTGTATTTGTTGTGATGCCTTGAGAGCTCTTGATCTTTGTATCCTTATTGTCTATGTGAATAAAAAGCTCTGCTAATCTGCCTGACAAGGTTTTGCAGCAATAGAAGGAATAAGTCACAAAGCCTTATCACAGTTAACCCCTCTGTAGCAGGTGAGCAGATAGCTGAAATTAAACCACATCAGGAACAGCAGAAATATATGTGATCTGGACTCTGAAGTCTCCTGGTATCTGATAGTCAGGCTGGGGGCACTACTAACAGTCAGAATTGTAACTACTGGAATGCAGCAGTTATTTTTGTTAATGGCTCATGTTTGCTAATTCATAATAAAGGTCCTCTTGGTAATGGTGCTCCCAATAATTTGCTTTCCAATTCTAATTTTTTGGTAAGATTATTTTCATATACTATTTTTCTTTCTTTCATTTCTTTGGCATATTTCTCCTCAGGTGTGCTTTCCACTTTTAAATGCCATTTTATGCCATCAAAAACCAAAAGACTCAGCCAAGGTCTCAAAATACCCTCCTTTAGATATTTGTTGTTTGGAGGTTACTTCAGTAGCAGGAATTGTAGTTCAAAATAGCATGTAGACCAGAGTAATTTAGAAAATGAAAAGTCATCAAAAAAAAATATTCTTGCCCCATTTCCAGTTTAAACCTCTAAATATTTTTCTTTCCTATATTTGCTTAAATCCTAGAAAGCAGTGTGTATACTCATTTCTCTTACTGCTTTGCTTACTTTCCTTATGAGCTACAAATGTACATAAGGAAATTCCATCTACATTCCTTTCAGCTGGTACTGTCCTTGACTTTATTTTATCCCTATTCTTTATGTCTTACATAGATTCAGTCAAACAATCCTACGCCTTTGGGGATTTTGTATATAGGACCGAGAATGACTTTGCATTGTGCCCTCCTTGGACTATTGTCTTGGTTTCCGTTGCATTTTGGTGTAGTTAGCTTTTTGACATTAGATTTGGATCACACTCGAGTAACCTTTCACTGTACTTTCTTAAAGTTTTGTTGGACAAGGGGACAGCCAGATTCTGTCAAAGCATAGCTATTATTTGAATAACTTGTTCGGGTTTACACTAGAATTTTATACATTATAAAACCTCTATTAGTTTTATAGATCTAAATTAGTTATCTCCAAGTCTAATCAGACCTGTTGTTTCTGTTTGTATACGCTATCTTTGAGAGAATTAACCTAGCAAGTTTAATCATATTTTTCATGCTGTTCTTCTCCATACTGAACAGTGAAAATCTTCTGCTGCAAGTAACCATGTTCTTAATATTCCTGCATAATGTGAAGCTCTTCACTTCCAATCTTCCCAACTTTTGTCTGTAACACCCCAGGATTTTATTACAACTGATGATTTGCCAGATAAGAGGGTTTATTTTAAAAATGCATTTAGTTTCCTTATTTATCTTTCTTTCTCTCAGTGATTTTTTTGTCTTTATTTATTTCTCATAGTTTGGTTTTGTTTGGTTTTTTTTGTTTGTTTGGGTTTTTTTTGTTTTTTTTTGTAATTGGTGAGTTTTGCAAATACTTTCCAAGACTGAAGGTCTGAGAAGGTAGTTTTATGTGACAGCTTACCTATAGCAGGATTTTCCCAAATCTATTGCCTGTACAACATGGCTGATTTCTTTATTACTCTTGTATGAATTTTTGTTATTACAGCGCTCCCTTTTCCTCCCATGGAAAATGTATTTCAGTCTTTGGCACCAGTTCTCCATCCTTCCTTGGGAACATGAAGATAGAAAGCTTCAGGTGTTGTTTTTTTTTCCAGTTAGCCTGCTTATTCCATAGGAAGTTACCACGCTTGAATTCCTTCTTCCATACCTAAAACTTCAGAAAAAAAAAATGCAGTATTTGTTATTATTTGTGGAATCTCAGTTTTATTCTTTATTTTAGGTTTTATACTATTCAAGTGCTATTTTTATGCTTTTCATTTTTTTTTTTCAGAATATTTTGTAGCGCTTGTTCACTTTCCCTTTTATTAAAGGTCTCTTCAAAGCAATGTTGAAAATGATATGCCAGTGAACAAGGCACAGGTAGTCCAATGGTATGTCCAAAAGTGCTGTGTTACCTAGAACCAAACTGAAGGTGGTTTTGTCCGTGCTTGAGCAGTCAGGCTCGCTGGTGAAAACTATTGTTTTGAACAGTGGTTAGGCCTGGTGTAGTGTACACTCAGCAATGGTGACAAACCAAGGCAACCACCGAGACTCCCACACATCTTAAATGCATGTTGTCAACAGCCCAGTGTCAAATCCAAATTATCATCTCCCTATGGATTTTCAGTTCCATGATATGCTATTTTTAGTATAGTGTCTTAAAATGCAACAGAAAGATTTCATTTCCAACACGAGTCTATTTTGGGGGTCAGAATCAAAACGATTGTAGAAATTTTCTGTGTATCCTCCCTTGAGTTAGGATTATCATAATATTGTTCTTTCTAAACAAGTGGCAAACAGCAACAGGATTCCTGTTAACTATTTACTTCTTTTTACTCTGTTTGAATCACAGTTCACGTCTGAGATGAAGTTTCTTTTTCATGTTTGGTTAGACTGTGAGCTTCCTGCTCTCTTCCTCAGGTGCTGCCAGCCTGTCTCTCAGCATCTCCCTTCTAATATCTTTTTCAATATTTCAAGACACACTACTTTTGCACAGTGACATTTGTTAGAGAGCAATCTTAACATTTCTCTTGAAATCTCTTTCTTTACTTTAATACTTGAGGCTAGAATATAATAACTTGGAAACAAGAGGAGCTTATTGAATCAATGAATATAATGTCTTTACCTTTGGTATTAATATATTTTGCGAGAATTTTTGGCATTTGGAAGTCAATAGAAATTTTATCATTGATTTCCATGTCCATTAATAAGTAAAATAATAATGTCCAAATATTTTTTATTGGTAATTTTATTGACAGTTGTACCCTTCTGAGAATTTAGGCGTATCTGCACTTAAACTTGCTTCCAATTTAGAGCTGTGAAAGCTCCTTTTTTTTTTTTTAAATTTTCTCTTTCCCTCTCCCTCTCCCTCTCCCTCTCCCTCTCCCTCTCCCTCTCCCTCTCCCTCTCCCTCTCCCTCTCCCTCTCCCTCTCCCTCTCCCTCTCCCTCTCCCTCTCCCTTTCCCTTTCCCTTTCCTTTCCTTTCCTCCCCTTTCCTTTCCTCCCCTTTCCTTTCCTCCCCTTTCCTTTCCTCCCCTTTCCTTTCCTCCCCTTTCCTTTCCTCCCCTTTCCTTTCCTCCCCTTTCCTTTCCTCCCCTTTCCTTTCCTCCCCTTCCCTTTTCCCTCTTTTCCTTTCCCTTTCCTTTTCTCATCCTATCACTACACCCCCTGATCCAGAGTCCCTCCCCAGATTTCCTGTCCCCCCTTTAAGCCCTGGGAGGCCGCTCGAAGGGCTCCCCGGAGCCTTCTCTTCTCCAGGATGAACCCCCCAACTCTCTCAGCCCGGCCTCCCAGGGGAGCTGCTCCAGCCCCCCCAGCATCTTCATGGCCTCCTCTGGACCCACTCGAGCAGGTCTGTGTCCTTCTTACGCTGGGGCCCCCAGAGCTGGACCCAGCACTGCAGGTGGGGTCTCATGAGAGCAGAGTAGAGGGGAGAATCCCCCCCCCTCGACCTGCTGGCCACACTTCTCCTGATGCAGCCCAGGGCATGGTTGGCTTTCTGGGCTGTGAGCACATGTTGTTGGTTCACAGTCAGTTTTTCATTGACTGGTGCCCCCGAGTCCTTCTCCACAGGGCTGCTCGCAATCCACTCATGGCCCAGCCTGTATTTGTGCTGGGGATGGCCCCGACCCACGGGCAGGACCTTGCACTTGGCCTTGTTGAACTCCATGAGGTTTGCACGGGCCCCACCTCTCCAGCCTGTCAGGGACCCTCTGGATGGCATCCCTCCCCTCCAGAGTGCTGACTGTGCCACACAGCTCAGTGTCATCAGCAAACTTGCAGAGGGTGCACTCAATCCTGCTGTCCATGTCGCTGACAAGGACATTAAACAGTCCCAGTACTGACCCCCAAGGAACGCCACTTGTCACTGCTCTCCACCTGGACATTGAGCTGTTGACCTCAACTCTTTTGAGTGTGACCATCCAGCCAATTCCTTACCCACCGAGTGCTCCATCCATCAAATCCATGTCTCTCCAATTTAGAGACAAGGATATTGTGCGGGTCAGTGTAGGTAGATGATGTCAGTTGCTTTTCCCCTATCCACCAACGCTGTAACCCCATTTTAGAAGGCCACCAAATTTGTTCAGGCACCATTTGTCCATAGTGAAGCCGTGTTGCCTGTCACCAGTCACCTCTGAATTTTCCATGTGCCCTAGCATAGCTTCCAGGAGGATCCACTCCATGATCTTGTCAGGCACAGAGGTGACTTTGCTCTCAACAATGACTTCTTTGTGATGGTAAGCCTACATTAACTGCTCCTATGATATACTAGAGAAGATATGGATCAGAGTGTAGAAAATGTTCTCATTTGTAAGACCCTTCACAATTCTACTTTCACAATTAATTTGTTGTTGTGTTAATGTCTCACCTTGGCTTAGACCCAGAGTAGATCAACGAACCAGCTAGCAGTGTCTCTACAGTAATGATTCATTGCATTTTCTTTAGGTGAGACCACTACTTGGTGGTTCCATGCTATTGTATTATCAAAACCAGGTTATTTAATACTTTAGTTTAATGGCCATGATCTACAGAATGCAGTTCCTCCTGAATCTACAGTAAGACTTTGTATTTGAACTGTCGTCAGTGTCACAGATCTTCTAGTAGAAAAATAGAGGTACTCTGTGCATTAATTTTTAGTATTTTTGACTGCTACAGTACTTAAAGCAATTTGTGGAGCATGTTTTCCAATCTTGGTTTACACTGATAACTCCAGTAAGGGGGCTGTGCATTAGTACTCAGGTATTACTGTCTTTAAATGTTTTATTATCAACAGTGAACCCCTTATTAGTAACAAATATTCTAACAGTGATCAAAGTATCGTATTGAGTTTTGGGACCCTACTGTGCTGGACACTGCAAAATGTATTAAGGAGATAAGCACAGTGCAAGGTACTTTTCTGCAGTTGCACGGTGTAATCAGGCAATGGCAAACAGTGGGTTTACACTGAATGTAAATGCATATACATTGTTTTAGCTGAAATACTATGATATGGTTGTTGCATTACTCCGTTTTTTTGCTTTTTGTTAGAAGCAGAGATCTTCGCTCTCTTCAACAAGCCAAAAACCCCACAAAGATGCAGCCAGTACTATACAGTGACTATCCCTATGAGGATCTCCCGGAATGGGCAGACTGTCAACAGCTTAGAAGCAAATTGGCTGGAGCACATGACAGATCACTTCAGGAAAGGAGGCTCATTGGTAAACGCCATCTTCAGCCTTGGAATGGTAAATGGTATGGAAATTACAGAAAGCATTATGCTGTGATTATTTTCCTTTCTCCTCTAATAGAGGTCATTATCTTTGAAGAGAAGACATTTGGGAGGTCTTTAATACAGGCTTGGGGCAGATATGTTGTAGATCAGCCTATTTCAGTGAAATGGAATGAAAGCACAAGAAATATTTTGGCATTTGAATAAGGGAAACGCATCATGTATTGTGTTTTATAAACATATTATATACGATCCTGTAATTGCAGAACTATACAGAGTTAATAAACACTACCAAGTAAAATGAATTAAACTAATAAGATTCTGGAGCATATGACATAAAGGGAAGAGTGGCTTCCCTCTGAGCTGTCCGGCCGCACACTGCAGCTGGGTCTGATAGCAGGATTAGTATAAGGACCCTCCAGTTTCATCTGGAACAACGTGTGGTCAGTTACTCCCAGTTCTTGCAGAGACCTTTTCCACCTTGATGACACAGTGCTTTACCAAATTGTCTTCTATTTTTGTTTCATCCTAGCTAGTGTGTTCATATGAATGATATATAAATGTTGGTCTTAATTTAAGAAGAGAAGATTAAAAACTAGATTTTTACATGTTGTGAAAATGTGGCACTGAGTCCAGCTTAATATGGTAGTCAGTCTGTACTATACTCTTGGCCACCATGGCTTTGAAGACAAGCCTGCTGTGCAAAGAAAGACTTTGGTGCATAGTAGGGATTTGAGAGACGTAACCAAGGGAGGTACTCAAATAGAAAAATGTTGAAGTTACAGCCAGATTAATTTCACTGGAAAATTATGTGACTAGTATACTTCATGGTTAAAGTGCTTATGGGTAAATCTTTCACCTGATTTTGGTTTGCTTTGCGTTCTACAAAAGGAATGTGGTAACCCATAGATGGGGCACTACTACTAAGATTAGTGGGTTTGTGCCTCAAAATTACAGTGGAACTGCTTCCAGAGCATCTTCCCATTTTGCTGCTGGTCAGAATTCCAGGGACCCGTGACAAAACACAGTAATATGAGTTGGTTCTGGTAAAAGTCAACCAGAAAATTAACAGGCAATCCTAATTTTTCATTTTGCAAGCAAGTAGCAAAAAAGGAAGGTCTAAAGTTCAGCTGATGGAATGCTTACACACAGCTTCCTGCAAAGCCTTGTAATTGCTAGTTAACTTGCTTAAAAACAAATGGTCATTTGCTTTATGCGTATAAATTGCAACTGATAGCGGCAAACCTAGTTGGGTCTATTAGGCTCAATGTTTTCTTTAATAAAAACTGCTTATCAGTGCAGTCTAAAATGCCTTAAACACAGCATTTTTCTGTTATTTAAACTTCTAAAGTTCATTTACATAATAGGGGCCTGGGGGAAGTTCATGTGCTTGGATACCAGAGTGAGGAGTGCTGGATAACTGCCTGCGGACGTAGATGAAGTAGGCTTGAATGATGACAGTAAAGCTTCAATGCAAACAGGATAACAAATTATGTAAAAGTGGACAGATTCAGGATTAAGGTAGAGATTGAAGATGAACAATTAATAAACATTTTTATTAGCAGTTTACAGTTACAGGAAGAGTAGGTTTAGAAGTCAAAAGGCTCATAGTTAAAGTTTCTAATTAGTGTATTAATTAGAACGTTTATGTTAAAATGCCATGAACATGCTCATGCTATTAGAAGAACATTTGCTAAGAACATCTGTAAGTTGCTATCAGTTGCAGTTAAATGTTTATGATTTAAATCCTAAATTTTTCCTGTGCTGCAGAGAAATGCAACAGCTTTTTCATTCGTATGCCAGCCAGTATGAAACAACCCAGGGTAGGGAGGAGAGAAGAAAGAGGGGGTTGGGGGCTTCTCAGCTCCTTACTTTTTTCTAGTCTTTTATGGCAGCCTATCCAGCTCTTCATAGCTGGTCTCCTTATTCACTGATTAATCCTCTTCCAAATTAAGGTAATATTAGCATACTTTCTTTAATTGGTTATACCACACTTCTTTGTTCTGGGGGCTGGTTTTCTCTTTGGCTTAAAGTATGAAATAATTATTTTGCTTATTAGCCTTAAAAGCAAGGTCATTATCTTCTTTTTCTCCTTGTCCTTGGAATGCCCAGTGAAGATTTCCAGATTGTCAGTAGTCATAAATCTGTTTCTTCCTTCTGCCAACAGTTTAATAATTAGTCTTTAAAATGGTAACAATTGTTTCTTTTTGCTTATTGTACCAGATAATTATAAACAGAAATATAACACAATTGCAAATTACAGTATGTAAATCATGAAGAGTTACACCATATATTAAATGTATTCAGATTTTGCTAGTAAGTTGGAAGCAATAGCTTGCTTGGTCCTTGAATGTTCCTATGCTGACAAATAAGTTATTTAAATTTGAACTCGAGTTACTTGCTGGTGCTTTTCATTCAATTTATGTCATTACTAATTCTGCCTGTAGTGCCAGGTGTAAACTGATCCTGCCTAGTGAGCTAAAGTGATCATAGCACTTCACCCTTGCCCTCCTCTAGTGAGAAGTGGAGACTGCAACAGCAAGCTACAGAGTAATACAACTGCAAATGGAAAGGGTCTAACAGGTGGGGGGTCTCTTTCTTTCCTATAAGGGCAAGTCTTCAATCACCTGTGTGAGGAGGAGAGAGTGAGAAGGAAGGAGGAGTCAAAGCTAAGGTTATATTTTGGTGCCTTAGCAGGGTAATCACAAGCCTGCTCATCTTTAGTTGTTTTGAACTGCAGGTCTTTAAATGCCTGCCATTCTTGTTTTTGCTTTACCATTCTGGTGGGGAATTTCCTGTCTTTCAAACTTAGAAAAAGCCAGACAACCAACCAGAAGACATTGACAGTACTTAAAGACAAAGCAAATTAAACAAAATGCGAGTTGTTTGGAAGAGAAAAGTAGTCAGGTTTTCAGAGGGTCAGATTGATTGTCTCTGTTGTATTCACGCTGCCTCTGACAGAGATAAACCATTGATACATCTGTTCACTTATAGTCACCTTATCCACTGAAGTGGTTGGGAGTTTTATCATTTTTCTCTGTGTGTACTGAAAGTGAAAAGATTCAGGAGGAGGGAGGAATATAAATATGAAACAAAGGCCAAAATTCAGGTCGCATGCCACATAAAGCCGCAGATAGCTAGTTTTCATCATTGAGAGTAACAGCAGCCTAAAGGTTAGTTTCCCAGATAAGGAGAGTTTGTAGTTCAAAGACAACAAGGGGAAAATTGTTGCCCGCTAGGAAAGCTGTCATGGTAAAGTAAGAAATTTTTTCCCATATGCTTCTTGTAAATCAGAAGCAAGAACATCAAAATAGCTTTTCGTCAACTGAGCTACATCAAATATTTATACAACCCAGTGAAAATAGCTTTTTGTGCACAGTAGGATACCTTCATAAAAAATGCAGCGGTAATAGAACATTTTCAGAGGAAGGACAGTGATTGTAACCTTTACATTCAGAGCCTTTTATTTAAGGAAGAGTGAAGTTATGTCAATTCGAGAGTAGAGACTGGGAAATGATACCACAAATAACAAAGTCAGAACAGTTTGTTTTATTTGCATTCCTTACTGCCCTGTTACAAATGAACTAACATTTGAAATTACTACAGACCTTTTTAATGTAGGCTAAGTTCCAGGAGCTAAATCTTGTTAAACAAGAGATGACCCAGACAATACCACTGCATCAGAATCAGGAAATACCTTGCACGAGAAACAGTGGAAACTGGAAGGACCAGCTCACCATCTAAAGCTTTGGATGGCTGACCTTTGTAGATAGGTTAGGTAAGATTCAGCTAAATAAATGTAGGCAGGGCAGACGCCGTAGGTATCTGCATATGAGTTGTCACCCAGAAGTGCCATTATAATCAACGGAGATGTAAGCCTAGACGAATATAGTCAGTAGAATTTGTGTTGTGATCCACCTCATCCTACATCAAATACCTAGAAGAGATAAGATAGATTGTAGTGGGCGATTTAGTGACAGCAGACCTTCACAGGACTGAGATACTCACTGTCTCCTTTGCCTTAGTCTTCACTGACACAGTCTTCCAGGCCTCTGAGCTTAGAGACAAGGTTCAAGGATGTGCAGGACTAGCAGTAGTGGATGAAGATCAAGACAGGGATTGCTTGAGTTCCTGAGGCCAAATGGTCTGCATCCAAGGGTGCTGGGACAGCTGGCTGTTGTCGTAACAAGGCCACTCGTGGTTATCTTTGAAAGGTTATGGAGATCAGGGGAGTTTTTCAACACATGAGAAAGGCAAAGGTTGAACCTGTCTTTAAAAAAAGGCCAAAAGACAATCCAGGGGCCTACACAGTGGTCAGCCTCACTTCATTCCTGGGTAAATCGTTGAGTGAATCCTCTTGGAACGCATTTCTGGACACATGAAGGAGAAGGCAGTGATTTGAAATAGTCAGCATGGATTTAACAAGAGTAAATCATACATGATGAAACTGGTTGTCTTCTGCGATGAAATGACTGGATTTGTGGATGAGGAAATTTGTGGATGGCATCAAGGAAGTGTGACAGTGGCTCCCACAATATTTCTGTATCCAGGCTAGGACCCTGCACCCCAGACAGCAGGACGACTAGATGGGTAAAAAATGGGTTGCATGTCTAGGCTCAGAGGGTCATGGTGAACAGATCACACTTTACCTGGAGTAACAAGTGGAGTACCACAGACATCTATCCCAGGACCTATTGTGTTTAACAATTCTATCAGTGATGCAGAGGAGGCAATGGGGCTTGCTTTTGTCAAATTTACAGATGATCCCATACTCAGGGGTGCAGTTGATATGCTTCAGAACTGGGCTGCTCTCCAGAGGGACCTGGACAGACTGGAAGAAGGTGCTAGCAGGAGCTTTTTGAAATTTCATGAGGACAAATATCCTGCCTCTTGGAAGGGAGAGGTCTTTTCACTAATCCAGGAGGAGGACTGCCTGGCTGGGTAACAGCTCTGTTGAAAAGGTTCTGGGGGATGTTAGCAGTAAACAAGCTGAAGATGAACCAGCAGTATACCCTGGCAGGAGAGAAGGCAACAGCATACCAGGCTGTAATGACAGAATATAGCCAGAAGATAAAAGACAGGGATTATCCTCTTCTACTTGGTGCTCATTAGATTACATCTAGACCACATACCATGTCCAGTTTTGGGCCCTCCCTCCCCCAAATCGGGCAAGGAGGGTGTTGACAAACTGGAGGTAGTGTATCAGAGGGCCAACGAGATAGTTAGTGACTAGAGCACGTGTCCGGTGAGAAGGACTGAAGAAGCTGGGTTGGTTCAGCCTAGAGAAGGGACAGCTTTGGGGGACCTAACATTGCCTGGCAGTGCCTATGAGGAGACTATCAAGAAGATGGATTCAGGCGCTTCACTGAGGCGTACTGTAGGAGGATGAGAAAAAATGTACATAAATTGAAACGAGAGGGATCCTGGTTAGGTATAGAGAAAAACTTTTTCATCATGAAAACAGTCACACTAGAAGAGGCTGCCCAGGAAGTTGTGCGGTCTCCATCCTTGGAGATTTTCAAGATGCAGCTACATAAAGCCCTAGGCAATCTGGTCTGCCCTTGTATTCAACCTGCTTTGAGCAGGAGATTAGACTGGAGACCTCCCGAGGTCTCCTGAATTATTCCATGATTCGATGAAAATGGGTCCTGAATGAAATAATGATTATTTCTCTCCATCAATTGTAAAGAGAGCCTTGGATGACTAACTCAGCTGTAGACCTCTATATCTGAAATACCTAATGTTAAATTATGTGAATCTCATCTAGTGGGCCAGTTCTAGAACATGTGGCTGTAGACTTAAGTTTCTCTTAGAGCTAGAGCATCTGTGTGATAAAGGTATTGCAGGTAGACTCAGTGCATGTGTCCACCTCCTTGTCCTTCCACACCTCTGTGTAAGAGTTTCCCTGAAATTCCTGCTGATCCTGACACTGTAGCGTGGGTGATGTGTGCCTTTTCTCCAAAATATGACCCCATTAGCTCTGTTTCTGCTGCTTTCTCCTTTCCCCCAGTTATTCTCAGCATCACAAATGCTTCATACGTGAAGGAATTAATGATCCAATTATTCTTTCCTCTCCTTCTCCCTTTTATCTGGAAGAGTAGTAGATGACCTGTAAAAGGGAAGATGTACAACCAAGGTGTGAGAATTGGTAAACATGCATTCATGGCATGAAAGATTAAACACTGTAACGTGACAGAGAGAAGGTTGGTTATGGTTAAGGGGGAAAATCTCAAAGACCATCATCAGCCAGTTTCTCTTACAGAATTTTTCACCAGCATCACTCTGTTGAACCTACACCAGTATGCAGCAGCTGTCTCGCCCTCATAATTTTTCCCCTTCCATTTTTCTCATTTTGTATAGGTTTTTTTCCTGGCCAGAAATTTAATGGATCTTAGACTTGGCTGGATGTAGCATTCAACAGTAATCATTGTACATCCAACAAGGAAGCGAAGTCATAGAATCACCTAGGTTGGAAAAGACCTTTAAGATCATTGAGTCCAACAATAAACGTAACACCGCCAAATATATGCATATATTTATATGCTGTCTGTAGGGTCTCACGAGCTCAGCTATTAGTTTCTAAAACATTACATATGTGCCATAATGTTCACATATGTGGAAGCTGTGAACTGCATGAGAGGAATGCGCAGCAGAGTGAAGCATAAAGGATGATTTACAAGCGAGTGTAAACACGCGCATGCTGATTGTGTTTTGATCGCTTATTAATTAGCTGGCAAATGCGTGGGGTGAGCTCAGGCTGCAGTTGTGCCAACAGTGCGACACTGAATTTCTCTGAGAGAATTCATGACACAGGAGCAGTACACTGACGCTGTGTAAAGCTTCCTGGCAAGATCTGTATGTCTGTGTCTAGTAGGGATCTGTGGGTTTCTGCTTTCAGCCCTAGGGGCTCTCCTGTCATCCCTGCTTTGGAAAATTAAAGGCCTGTTTGTACATTACGGGTCCTAAAACAGATTTGGGTATGTGTTTGGGTGCTGGAACGTGATACATTGCACAGAAGTTGAGTTGGTGCCCACTTTGAAATGTAGGGTCTAACAAAGTTCCATTTCTGAATGAAATACGATAATTAAATCTTGTACCCATTTGCATGTGGCAAGCTTGTTCTCTTTATGTTTTGTAACCTGTAACCCAGCTACTTAGTGATCTGGCCTGTTATTTCACAACAAAAATGTCTGTTCTCCTCACTTGGATAAGAAATCTCTCTAGATGACAGGAGTTAGTGCTTTGTAGTCCAGCTCATCCTCCTTGGAGCAGTGTGTAATACCAGCTTGCTGTAGTGGTGAGGAATCTTCGTCTCTGTTCTAAGCAGTGTTACAGGAAACCTCCCTGGGGAAACACTCAATGTGAAAGTAGGCAGTGTATTTTTCTACTTCTTTGAGTATCCCAACAGAAGCCCAAGGAGAGTCCCTAGTAAGTGGTTTACAACTCTTTTTCCTTCACAACCGACCAAAAAAAAAAAAAAAAGCCATGTTATTTTAGATACAAATATACAAGTATTTGCATCTGCTCACTGACAACTTAATGACTTGATTGAAACTGCAGCAAGAGAGAGTAGTGGACTGTGCAAATAGAAGCCAGGAGGTGTGCAAATGCTTGACACCTACAGCAACAGTCTTGCTAAAGTGTGTGCGTAGACATGAGTCTCCAACTGTAGGAGTTTGGTTTGTTGTGGGCAAATCCCACAACAAATTTATTGTTTCAGATAATAAGTTTAATTTAGATCATACGATGACATTGGAAGCTGTTGACCGAGGTGTGTCTGCAAGAGGTAAGAAGCCTCTTAATCCTCTTCAGTGCCTCCTTTGTGAAAACGGGTTCTGAGTCTGTGACACGTTTTCCCTTGGAGGCAGTAATGCCTTCCCACTGGCATTTCTCACCTCGTAAGATCCACCAGGCAAGGCAGGAGGACCTGAGGAAACTACTAAGCAGAGAAGACTCTCCTGTCAGTTCAGAAATCTTATCAGTTTGGCATGTGTGGTTGCATTTCAGAAACATATATCATACCAGTGCAAGGAACATACTTTCCCTAAAATTGTAAAGAAACTATCATGCAAAATGCAACACTTGGGGAGGGGATGAGCAAGGTCTTTATAATCAATCATACAGGCTAAATGTATTATTTAAACTAGAAGGGCTGAAAAACATGCTTTGTGACAATGTGCGAGGCGTTTTCTGTGTTCCTAAAGAGTACAGTACTGCTTATTTACAGTTTTTCTAAATATAATTATATTGCTTCATCATTTAGCTTATTTTAGCAAAGAAAGGTAAGCAATTTTTTTTTTTCCAGTTATTCTGATTCTGTTCTGTCATGGAGCTGACAAAACTTGAGTTCTTGTGTATGGGAGTGATTGCTGATTGTGGAGTCTGTGGCTAAGTTGAAGGAGAAAGTGCTGCTCAAGTAATTTTAATAGTGTGTGTTGTCTGAGAAAAGGCTGAACATGCTGGGAATACAAATGAGAATAGAGAGGCACTAAACCAGATGGTCAAAATGCCTTCGTAAATTGATTAAATAGCTATGAATGTATCTTTACTTTCACACTGTTCAGATATGCCAGATCATTCTTAGTCCATGTAGATCACTGTAACTGCAATGGCTGATCCATATGTAGGTTTCTAACTTGTGTGAATGAACGGGTATAGTCATTAATATCAGTGTACCTTCAAAAGCCATTGGAAAGTTGACATAATACATGCTCTTTGACCTCCAGAGTGTGTGTGTAGGTGAGCACTACAGCTGAACTGAAGACTGAATTAATTTTGCCTGCCCAAAATGGGAGAGCTGGGTTTTTTGAGGACGAACTCTGGAATAGCAGAGTGGTCTCTGAGGCTTGCTATTAGAGAGTAGAATTGCTCTTAAAAACTGGTAGAGGTATTAGTCTTCTTCATTTCATAGAGCTGGACTATCAGACAAAAGTCTATGCGCTTTTTTATTGACATCCTTGGAAGAATTTGTTATTGATAAATTCAAATGCCTCACTACCCATGAGGTGCCTTCCAGAAAGCTCACAGATAACCCTGTGTTTTCACAGATTCTTTACATGGGACAATGGATGGAGTATTTCTCTTTGAAGATGTTGCTGTGGAAGACAGTAAAAGCATGCAGAGCTATGATGCAATTGTTGTAGAGCAGTGGACTGTCCTGAAGGTATGTGTGCAGCTTTTCTTTAAATTTTTTGTAAATCGAAGCACTCCAAGACTGTAAGGCAGACTCTCATGTACTGATCTGTGCTTCAGCAGTACCAGACAGGCAACTGAGGCAAAGGGGTGCTACATAACAATAACACCAGTTAACCACACTCTAGGTTTTTACGATGCTCTTTTGATTTTTGATAATCTCTGTGCTGTATTGGGGGGGGGTAGGAAATGTGAGTGATGGTGAGCAATGAAACTCAGGGCTATCTGTCCCAAAAATACAGATGTCTGCTAGATTAACTGTAAAGAGGATCTCCATTGGTTGTCAGGGCAACATGATCACACAAGTCACTCTAGCATCGCAGTTCTAAAGGCAGCGGCCCTTTAGGTAGGTTTAGCTGCAGTAGGAATGCACAAATAACTGCATTTGCTTCTGTCTGACCTCCTTCATATGCTGAAGGACCTGTATATTCTGGATAGGTCCCTATAAACAAACCACGTGTGTCACAGATTGGCTTTTTACTGATCCAAGTGCACACTCAGATCAGTAGAAACACTGTTTAGATCAGATCTGTCAGTACTGATCTTCCACAGCAAATTTGATACAGAGATTATTTGAAAATACACAAGTATTTGAAAAGCTGGGCTCAGAATTCTTTGTCACTTGAGGCAAGATCATAAAGGAAAAGAAGATAGTCACATAACTCTTAGAAGATTTTTTTTTTAATTGTTTGATTACTCATCTGCCAGAAATAGATGTTAAAGGCTATACCTGATCTTTTCACTTGGAATATATTGTAAATAGTGTAAAGTCCTAAAACAGACAAGCAAGGCACACATTCCAAAAGGATGGATTAAGGTAAAATAGGACAGATGCTAGACTAAATGTGTAAAATTGCAGGAGACTAGGATTAAGAGTTTGGTTATTAGATGATTACTTTGTAATGTAGCAAGAAACGGCCATATAATAACGACTAGAAACTTCTTGAAGAGCTGTGTAATGTGATAATGGCACCTTTTCTTGTGCTAATGTGCATCTGAATGAATGATTCCTATATTACATTGAATGTTATTCCAGTTATTACAGGCTTGGCTTATTGTTAAGTTTTAGGGTCAAACTGTGGTTTTGCCACTCAGAAGCAAGGTTTTGGGGTAATGACAGATGGCTCCATGAGTTCATTAGGTCAGTGCCGATCAGTAGGGCAAATATTAAGAAGCATTAATGTTAACCATATGTTAAAAGCTGTTAGGAAAGGAACAGAGGGTGAAACAGCAAGCATGTACTACTACATACTACTGTATAAGCTGTGGTTTGACAGCACCTTATTTCAGAAGGTTGTGTTAGTGCTGTAATTGTTCGGAGAGCAGAGCAGTGAGGATGATCAGTGATACAGGCAGCTTCCATATTAGGAAGACTTTACATGGCGCGTCCTTTTGGCTTGGAAAATAAAAGAGTTGCGGGGAACGGAATAGGTAGAGGTCTCCTAAATCATGGGAGGTGTGTAAATAGGGATTGACTATTTGCCATCTCTTCTAGTATAAGAACTAAGAACTGTCAAATGGCACAAGTTGGGGCCAGGTGCAAAGCAAACAAAAAGGAGATAATTCAGGTGATTCTTTATGCAACAAGCAGCAGATCTGTAGAACTCCTTCCTGGACAATGCTGTGGGTTCAAGAAGTTCAGGGTTCAGGTGTAAGTGATGATGTTTTTTCCTTCACCTTATCTATCTCTGTGTTTATACAAGCACTATAATTCAGGAGTTCATTTTTGAAGTGGACCTCCTGATCCTCCCCACTTACATTACAGAATGGTCTCATATTGCACAAACTGGGTTCCTTTCCATAGAAACTAAACCAGACGTGCTGAGAGGAAATACACCAAATACTTGGGGTGGGTATGCTACGTGCTTGCCCTGAGATATATAACTCTTCCTTACCTGTCACTTATAGCCATGTTGGAGACAGTTTTCTGAGTTAAGAGGAGTTTTGGTGTGAGCCACTTTGTCTCTTAGACAGCCAGTGAAAGGTTCTCTGTCTCAGTAGGCTATCGCAACAGTTACGCGCAATGGCCCCTATGCCCCTCTTAGTTTGCTCTGTGTGGACACAAGAAAGTTTGTCTCAAGTTACATGACAAGGACAGCATCTGATAATGGGGAACCTGTGAAGGCAGAGTGGTGATCAAAGCCCTGGGGCACAGCAGAAGAGTGTCTTCTAGCAGGGCCCCTTGAAGCATTAGAGCCCTGGTAGGTGGAGTATCATTTGCCTTCAATTCTACCAGTTCTGTGCTGGAGACGCAGCTGGTCAACAGATTAAGGAATCAGCCTCCCAGTGTGATCTGGTGTGTCACGAGATGCTGTACTGCTGCACACCATGTCTGTGTGAGGGCTAACGTGGAGAATCTCTTCCTCCAGACGTAAGATTTCATATGTGCAATTTCAGAAAATGACTGATAGCATACACAGAGCTTGTTGGTATGATCAGATTATTCTCTGCTGTAATTTAAAATTCAGATGCGGAGGGTTCCCTGGCAATTTTGCTCTTCGGAGGTCAAGTGTCCCTCTTTCGGGGACATTATGAACGTGTTGCCCACCAACCTGAAAGTGGAAGAATACAGAGAATAAAAAGCCTGCTGAAGGAAGGAGGTTGAGGCTTTGGGGAACTCTTGCAAAGGTCTTACCCATTTAGAAGAAGAACAGAGCTGACCACCTCTGTTTTCTTCTCCTGACATTTAAATAACTGGTTATTTCACGCCTCCTGTTTTCTGAGAGATAATAGGCATAAGTAGGTAAAGTCATCAAATGAAAGAAAGAAAGACTGGAAACCTGGGGATCTGTAGGCACTTGCCCAGTGTCATACCCAGAAGACAAGTTGCCTCTCTGTTAAACCCTGTTGGAATTCACCTTTATTTACCATAAATGTGGAATAGTGCAGTGGCAGAGGAAGGGACTGTAAAATTGGGGATACAGAGGGAAGGAGGTGGAATTTAGTAATGACAGATGATGTCCAAAAGCCAGTAAAGGCTTTGTTTCTGTTATGAGTACTTCAAAGTATAATTATCACAGAGATAATTAGAGGCAGTGGAATGACTCATTAATGTAGACTTCCTTATTTTTTTGGTATAGGTTCAGCTCTGATCTAGATTAGCCTTTTCCATTTCTCGTTTTCATTTGTACCAAGGCAGTGGAAGAAGCCCTGATGGGCAGCATGACATAAATGTGTATAATGGATCCTTATTTTAAATTCGTATCAGATTTGATTATCTGGGTGAGCTATGGACTTGTTCAGATGTGGTCTAAACCGAATGTAAATTGATTGTGCTGTAGCCCAATTAAGAAGAAACAAACAAAAGAATCTCGGCCACAACAAAAGAAAGCTGTTTTAAAAAGGAAGACATGTAACATGTATTGATGCCCTTAGTAATAAAAAGAGAACCTTTCTGAATGAAAAGGTAAAGTTCTGCTCTTTAACCATAAAGGCAAAAGAGAGGGGTTGGCACACTTCTTAGCAGAGAACGTGCTGCCTTTTTAATTGCTAAGGCTAATAGAGAAAACAAGCTGAACAGTGTGATGCACTCGGTATGTGTGTAAAATGTCAGTTTGTAGAGGATGTAAAGCTCGCAGCTGTCACAGTATGTGGTCCCGCCAAACAGCAGACAGGATGTAATATCTCTGAGTAATTTAACTCTTTCTTCTCAAAGTAGAGCTGTGGCGTCGCCTGCAAATGACCACAGGACTTCCAATGACAAAATGCTGCTCTCGTCCTTATCACTTTAACTCTAGAAATGTCAGGGCATATTAGTTCCACTGCAGCCTCTGAGAATTTGCCCTAAAACTTGTTTGATGGTTTTAATTCTGCTTGTGTAGGCAAATGTGGGTAGACAGTTCTGATTAATCGGAGCCTGCATGATTTCCCTCTCCCCAACTCTAATCTGTTACCTTCTCTTCCCCGTTACCCAAGACAAAATAGCTAATACTGTCTTTAAAATTGGGTGCTGTAACATTTATTTTAATTTCTGCATTGTTCTGCTTCTGAAACCTTGTTCATTTTGAAAATGTTGTCCTTAATTTGCATGTATTTTCTCATTGAAAATCTTCAGCTGGTGATTCATCACTTACTTATTCTCTACTATACTATATCTTTGGTGTACTGACATTAATTAAAATCTCAAATACATCGTGGTGTTGCCATTTCCCTGGCAGAATGGAATGGGGTCACTGTCTGCTATAGACATGGTAAACCTTTTAAAGTGCAACATAGCAAAAGATTTAAAAATTATCTCTGCTGAGCCTAGGTTGGAAGTTGCCTTAACATAAGCCTTGAAACAAATTCTCTGGAAATGAGGATTTGGTTTGTCTGTGAATGTGATTTAGGTGATGTGTCAGTTAAGCTAGGTTCTGCTGCCTGGCCATGGGAGAGCGGCATGACCAAGTCAGCAGAGGAGTTGATGGTGATGGGCATGAAAAGCAGTTGTGTGTGTGACCCTCTTTATCACCCAAAGGACACATATGTTGCCTGGGCAAAATATTTCAGCATTTTGCCCCTTGTTGCTTTTTAAGGAAAGCTGAACAAAAACCTTCAGGAGCCTGTTATCTTGAAAAGGTTTTTATAATTCTTGTTTCATTCTTTTATGTAAGATACAAAAACAGCATATATACATATATATTTGTCTACTGAACTCAGTAGACATATGCTCTATAGAGGAATAAAATCCACAGGCTAATCTTTCTTTGGTTTTGTTGATAAATTTAGTAATAAAAACTAGCGATACAAACTTGGAACTTCCCTGATACTTTCTTGTGGCACTGGCAGCATTGAGTGTCTAACAAGGTGAACGCTTCTTCCACGTGAGTAAAGGGTACTTGAAGTAAACAGGCAGAAAAGGACAGGATTTAAACCAGTAGGAATTAAAAAAAAAAATTCACTTCCTGTCTGTCAGAGTTTGCTTAGGTTTGTGACAAGATCAGAGATGAGAATTGGTTCTCTGCTCACCCATAAAATCTTTCAGGAAAAAGT